CGTATTCAAAGTGATATATGTGGACTAATTCATCCACCATGAGAACCATTTAGATATTTTATAGTTTTAATAGATGTGTCCATAAGATGCTCATATATATACTTATTATCTACTCGAAACCGAGCATTTTCGAGATTCTCAGCTCAAATAATTCGATTACGAGCACAATTTTTAGATTATGCCATTAAAATAATTTGTCTTAATAATTATGGTGAATTTATCTTCTAAATATTAAATGATTATCGATTGGCTATTAGAATAGTTGCTCATGTTCGTACTCATAAATGTTTAGCAAAATTATTTATCAAAAGGCTTTAATTAATAGCTAAACCATTGCTTATGAAGACAAAACTCCTTATTTATATTTAAGGATATACAATTTAATATGCATCAATACTTATTTACATCGAATCCACAAGTTATCGAAACTCTCTTCCCTTCAATTGATTTCGGTCATGAGCAAAATATTTTTTATCTAAGAATTTTTAGATGTGCAATATATATCTCCGGTGCTCCTCCACAACGAGTTGAATGGACAATTAAAGGAGATTGAGAATATATATTGAATTTGAATCATTTTTGATAATTAAATATCTTGAACCATGAACATGAGATATTTTTAAAGCTCGATTTACCGAATATCATTCTGATGAAACAATTTTTTTCCAACATTAGGGAGAGAGAATGGGCAAAATAAGCGATTGAAAATGTCAAAAAAAGAAATTACATAGAGTAATTATCTTTACATCATCTTAATCCTTGCATAAAATAATATGAATGAGAAGTTCATAAGATAATTCATTTATAAAACCTTGTAAACTAACTATTAGATGCATTTTCAAATCCAAAAAGAGTAACTAAAATGCATCCATTGAGAATGCAAATTGGTGTCCTCAAAGGACAATTTATTAATATTATAGCAAATAAATCATGATGATACGGATATATCATGAGGTTATATGAAAGAAAATATAGCTGCTACATATTCAAATCATGCAAAAATACGACCAATTTATAAGACAAGTTGAGAATGTATTTGGTTACGATCAATGACCCATCATATTTAAGAGAGATGCGAGTTTATCTACGGTAAAGAAATTTCAATAATATTATAAGAAGATAATGCTGCTTGCATAATTCAATTAAAGAAAGAATTCATCAAACAGATAATCCGACGGACTTATTCGAGTAAGGCATTACCTATCACAACTTTTGATAAAATGGTTTATAAGACTAAGATGTGTCGTCTTAAAGATCTTAAATGATGTTTTCAAAAGGAGGAGCCCAATATAGAGATTAATGTGAACAAAGAATATTATACTCTTTTTTCTTCATTAGAATTTTTTTCCTTTGGGTATTTTTCTAGTAAGGTTTTAACGAGATATGTTCCTTGTATGATGAACATTCAAGAAAAAGTTTTATGAAATAATTAATGCCCATTTCATATTCTCACTACCCATGTGATTCGATTCACCTTTCGAAATGAGAAATTGAAAAGATGATGTAGTTGATTCAATTATTTATGCACCTTTTAATGATTCATAAATCCTTTCAATTTTTTTTCCTAATTGTGAAGACTATAAATAGTTTTGATTATTCATTACTTTGAGTAGATGTGTTTTGTAGTTATTTAGTGAATTATTTGGAGTTGTTATCTTTTGTATTCGCTTTATTTTATAACGAATTCATTTTTCTATCATATTTTTCTTCAATTCTACTACTTTTATCATTTTTTTAATAACATCATTATCATTTTTATTTTGTTATCTACTATATATGTGTGTGTGTGTGTGTGCACGTAGGTGTTTTGTTTTTTTATAAAAACACATCAATTATTTTGAGTAAAATGAAAAATGAAATCTTAAGGCTAATAATTAAGATGATTTATTAATTTTTTTAATATACAGAGCTGAAATGGGAATATATACTATTAAAATAACTTTTTTTTTAAAAAAAATTAGTTTCATTTATATATAAATTGATTAAAAAATAAACTTATTTTCCGAAGAAAAAAAATCTATAAATTGTTAAAAAATCTATTAGCACAGCCTCATTAAAATTTTCAAGCAGTAATTTATTGCAATCTCAAATACTATTTCGAAAACAAAAGGAGAAGATACTATAATCTGTTGTCTTTGTCTTGCGAAGGATTAACAGTTTAATTTATAGCAAACTATGTTAGCTTTTAATTTTAAAAAGGCAGAATTTTCATAAATTTTTGGCATTAAAATTTCTTCCACTTTTTCTAGGAATGAGAATCACCTTACACAATTTGTTTAAACAAGCTTTTTGGTCCTTTTGCCCACTTTTTTTTTTTTTTTTTTTCAACAAATATTTTGCCAAACTTCAATTTGATTTAGCTACTGGGTTGAGAAGATTGCTGGAATTGTTGGGAGTCACACAACGCAAAATCCATTGGAGGATTAGATGCTATCCATTAATTGCAACAGCCAACAATAATAAAAACAAAGTAGAACCATACTTAAGAGTTTGGCCTTAGCAAGCAGCAGTGGCAGTGACCTCTTTCTTGGCTAAATAAACACATTAAGGTAAACATGAACTTATCTGTTTTCCTTCAATGTACAAAAGACTGGAGCTTGAGAATATACATGATGACTCACATCTAGATGGATGCCTTCGTCGGCAAAATGGCAAGGCGATAGACAAAAAGTTTGACTGTGTGAGAATAACCAGATGGACGATTATAGCTGAGCCGTGCTGCCTTCTCCAATGCATCTCAACGGTCGATCTCAGACCAATGCCTGATCATATACAACTTCCCAGATTTTGTTATGCAACGAACTGCTACTTCAGCACCTGCATCAAAAACCAGCAAAATCATTCCATTTTACATGCATGTTTATTAAATCTAAGCACAACTTACAATGATACCCATTATTACTTCATATATTTCAAATTTTATGGAAGACGGTTAAAAAATGTCATCTGCTGTAGCTCATCCTAACATCACAAGTAAAGTCATCCTGGAATTCCAGGAACCTATTGCAATTTGAGTGGCTGAAGGTACCCAAATATAGCCAGCATAAGAATGAAGTTGCAAGGAAATTCTGCGAGCATGAGTATGAACTAGTTTACAGATATGTTTGTAGGTAAAAATAATAGTCCAGAGAATTTAATCGATATATTTCTTGATGTAACAACACCTATGATAATTAAAATTTGAAAATGAAAAGAATGTCACTCAACTGCAGTGCATGTCAAAAAAAAAAAATAAATAAATAAATAAAGTGTGGGAGAAGAGAGGGTCTCCTTAATGCCCTGCATGCTTTTTAAACTGACAGCAAAATATTTTTCTCCAAATTATATGGTAAACAGTTCATTTGATGAAATTTTTACAATCCAAGAATGAACTAAAGCAACTTAATCTAGGTGAGAATCAGCAAAGACAAAAGAGTAACAATTGATGGGTGAAAGGTAACAATCTTTAGAAAACCACACAATTTAGGCATCAACATTAAGAAATGCCACAGGTTAGCAACAATCCCTGTACAACTATTCCCCAAAAGTGAATCAAACGCAGAGATCATTGTGATACATAGAAAAGATAAAAGAAATTAACCTCCCAACTGGTCTTGACATGAAGGGTAGTAGATAAGCCCCGCATACATTGCAACAACATCAGGCCAAACTATAAGCGGATGTTAAAGACAAAATGTTTCTTCATGGGTATGTAATGAGCCAATTTATACATTTATTTTTGGTCCAGAAACAAAAAGGGAAATTTGATGGGCAATAAGAGATTGATAAACTCTGAACTTATAATCAATGGGCAAACGTCGTACCAAATGAGATTTTAGTGTCTTGCTTCCCAAAGTTACAGATTTGGTTCTTCAAGTTCTTAGAGAATTGATTAATTGATTAGTATCTTCAATTGTTATCAATATCCTATCGATGTGTTGGCAGTAAGAGGAGAATACCTTTTCTTCTTAAGATTAAAGGACTGGTTAACAAATGTGGGATTCAAAACACCCCTTTTACTTTACAAGAGTATCATTGATTTACAAGTTCACTGAAAAAAGAGTATAGGCCTTTTAATCCTAAAGGTATCTTAGCCACGCAATGCAGAATCAATAGACCACAAGGTCGTAATTCAATCGGCATGCTTCCTCCTCAAAAAAGAAAAGAAAAGAGAAACGAAAAACCTTAAATATTTAGCTTGATAATAATCAATTCCTGCCACAGTTAACTTGTTAGTATACATATGACATCAAGGTTAAAGTTCGAAAAATCTTTAGGGATATAAAAGACAGAAAAGGACAGAGAACGAAATGGCTTTAAGGTTTTAGGCCAAACCCACTCTGACAACAAAAGCAATAAAGCGTACAGCTCTTGATCTCTAGCTGGCTATGAAACAAAACAAAACTTAATTTAACCCAGAAATTTTGAATAAATAGCAGTTCCTATTAAAACTTTTTCCTACTGCAAAAAATCAAAATTTGCTCGCACACATTGCTTACTCACTGGAGAAGTGATACATGCACCCTCAATCAGCCCAGCTTGGTCTTATAAGAAATGTTTTTGGTCAGGAATTTCCACCTGAGAAGGAAAAAAAAGAAAAAAGAAAAAAGAAGAAGCATATAAAGTCATTCTACCAATAATAGAAACTCAAAGGACTTTGAGAAGATGTTCTCAGAAAGCTGCAACATCTAAGCATAATAACTGACCTAAGTCGTGCAAAACTACATAAATCAACTAAGGGAAACTATCAACATGAACCTTTTGAATTTACTGTTATGACTGTCCCTGTTAAAAAACATCCAGTAAATGAAAATTTTTATAAGGAATTAGGAGGATTTGATGAGCTTTAACTTTCCGTGCATAACGGCACTAAGTAATGCAACATATGTAGAAAGAGGTATAAGAAAACTGTCAAAACTTGTCTGCAGCGCCTCAATGTATCATGAGCAATATGAAGTTATAGCAAACAAGAAGCTAAGAACAATACCATGTCTAGATCACAAATTATTTCCTTAAAACCTTCAGTTCTTCCCCTTGTGCAATATCCCAGAGCGAAAGCTCGGGCCGTATGCAGTCACACTAATGATTTCCATTCTATGAGTTATTTCTGTATCCTCAAAACTCTTGCATTTTGGGTCATAATGGATGATACATTGATCATGTTTCAGCATCAAGATTTCCCCAGAGCTTAAGAAAAATAAGGATTCATAAGAGAGGCAATCATTTACTACGTGTCCAACCACAAACTTTTTGGACCAAGACTCCATACTCCTCCATAACCCATATCTCAATTTCTCTACGTCCTTAACACACATCAAAAGCCACAAATAGGCAATCTTTTAAAACTCCTACACATGAAAATGAGTGCCTTCCCCAGCCATCATGCATTTGAGAATCAGAAGATAAAAGCAACCGCGTAAACTGCTCAAAACCAAAGTCAAAAGCGCAAATAAACCCATCGTTTTCAGGACTATAATCAATCCAATGGACTGAATCATGTAAAAAAGCATTGGCATCCAGATGGTCAAGGCTGAAAGGAGCATTTCCTATGCTTCTCCATTGTCCTGAACCAACAGTGTATACTTCAGCCTGACATTGAGTGGTAGACGCTCCATCGAGATAAAATGTCTGTAGCACTTTGTATTGATTACTGACATAAATGAATCCCAAAGCCAAATTTTGCTCCCATTTTCTAGGTTTCTTAACTAGTGGAATAGTTATGCACTCTCCTAATATTGGATTGCAAACATGAACCATTTCATGGGATTTGGCTTTAGACCTTCCCCACAAGCAAATCAACCCATTGCAAGAATTTATAAGGCGGAAATCAGTATTAGTCAAGTTTGTGTTGGGAAGAAACCTTATTTTTTCGACATCCCAAGTGTTACTGCTGACTTCTTCAACTATTAGAGCTAATAATGATTTTCTAATTATGAACCAACGGTTGGCTTGAATCAAGAAGGTAGTGGATGATTTTGCAAGATGGAGTTTAGCAAAATGAGGATCTGAAATTAAAAGAAGCCAAGTTTCGCAAACAAACTTACAGTTGAAAAGAGACTTGAGAGGCAATCTTGATAGCATGTCCATCATCAAACCATGGGGGAGCTCAGCTACTAAACATTTTGATTCTTCTGTGCTACTTCCTTCTGGGTTTGCTGCTCTCTGTCTGTCAGCATCCACGCGGACTGTCTTCCTTAGGCTCTGTTTGGATTGAAGGAGGGTTTATAATGAAATGGAACGTAACGTAATGGTATGGAATGGAACAGAGAGTTATGTATTGAAACCCTTTGGGACGAAGGAATGGCTTACAATGACATTGTCAGCAACGTTACATGGGAAAGCAATGAAATGAAATGGAATTGTTGGTTAATAATATAGAAGATGACAAATTTACCCTTTTATGTCTCTTTTATCAATAAATAAATTTAAAATGAGCAACTCGTTATGAAATAATGATAATGAATGTCCATCATCATGTTCATCCACTTTTCATATCCTCATTACTCATGATTCTTAATATGATTCAATTCATCATTCAATATGAGAAATTGAAAGGATGGTGTAATTGATTATTCATAGTCCTTTTCAATTCTCTCCTTAATTTTGAAGCCTATAAATAGGCTTGATTGTTCATTAGTTGATGTACAAGTTTCTTAGAGAAAACAAGAGGAACTTTGAAGTTTTTATCACTTATATTCATATTATAGTGATTTCATTTTCTTGTTATCCTTTTCTTCAATTCTTCTATTATTTCTAGTTATTTTATAACATGTTATCAGCACGAAGCTCTAACCAATCGAGACAATAGACCATAAGGTATGTATCTACCAAAAGATTTAATCAATTGTTTTAACAATTGAATTTCCTCTACACAAGTGCTCCACGAAAAGATCTAAATTATTTAGATCATTAATAGATATGTATCTAATTTATTCATGTACTTTAAATCTATTGATATATGAAATATATATTTGAAAAAATTAAATGATCTACTAATGATCTAATAAATGTTAGTTGAAAAGCTTTAATTTTATTATTATATTTGTTTTTATTTTCTAATATTATTATTATATATTATATTATAGAATTTTTATTATATCAAACCTCATAAACTTGATTTAGTTACTCTTAATATTTTGAATAAGAATTATTGATTATGAGTGCTTGATTTTGAAAAAATATTCTCTACTTTTCATGTCTTGGATATGCTCCTGTAGTAGTATATCAAGAAAAAGAGTTTAAGAAATATTCTGAATCAATTTCATATTTGCTCATGGCTAAATAAAATGAAAAGCTATTGATGAAAAAGAATAAATCTCATCCAATTGGATCTATCCCATTCCCCGAAGTGAATGTGACAATTTATAATAATTTTAGACATGGACGAAGATGTAGTCATAGCCATGGATGTTGTCAAAATAATTATCATTATAATTGTGATGACATAATATTACATCTCACCACCGAAGTGGATAACTATGAAAAAAAGAAGAAGATAAAATCGGTATTCGAAAAATAAATATTATAGATGTGGAATGAATGAATATTGATCGTGTACCTGTCGTATACCAAAGTATCTCATTGATGCTTGTCAAGCCTTATTGAAAAATAAAGAGTAAAATATGAATGCCACTTTTATATATCAAAATAATAGTAATTGAAATTAATTACTTGTTAGTTTTTCTATTTATAAATAAAATATTTTATATTTCTTATAATTTATATCATATAGTGATGGTTACAAATTTATTATTTATTTATTTGTATTTATGAGGAATATATTTATTTATTTATTTATTTTGTATTGATTTATTTAATTATTTATTTTATGTTAATTTTATATATGATAATATCAATCTAATAGAAATCTCTAGAAGAGCGACTATATTATTATCATCTAAAGAGATAAAAGAGCGATTATATTATGATTTAAAGAGATAAATTTTTGAAGCTCTAGAAGAGTGAATATATTATTACTTAAAGAGATAAATTTTAAAGGTTCTAGAAGAGTCAATAAATTATTACTTGAAGTGACTAATTTAAAGGCTCTAGAAGAGCAAATATGTTATTATCCGAAAGGATAAATTTATTATGAAAGATGTACTATTCTCTTCAAAGTCTCATAGAAATTTGTTGAGTTTCAAAGATATTCATCTGAATTGATATCATATCAAGATAGCAAATGCGAATTCTTATATGTTATAATCATTATATCGGGTAGAAAATATCTATCAAAAAAAATTATCCGTTTTCTCTTCTAGTCTTTATTACAAACATTGAAATGATTGAAACAAATATTGTAGTAGACCGAAGTTTACTAATTCAAATACTTTTATTATATGACATGACCGAGTTGTGCTATCTTGGGTTTTTCATGATGCGACAAATTATTAAAAATTCATAAGGACATCTATTAAAGAGCTAGAAGATTCTTCAATTTAATGAACTTTCATGTGTCGCATGTTGCCAAGGTAAATTGATGATTAAGCCATCATCAAGTAAAATTAAGATTGAATCTTCAGTATTTTAGAATATATTCAAGGTGATATATGTGGATCAATTCATCCACTATATGGATAATTTAAATATTTTACGATGTTGATAAATACATCCACAAGATGGTCACATATATACTTATTCTCTATTTAAAACCCGACGTTTTCGAGATTGCTAGTAAATAATTTGATTTTGAGCATAATTTTCAAATTATGCCATTAAAACAACCTTGATAATGCTGATGAATTTATTTCTCAAGCATTAAATTATTATTGATTGGCTATTAAAATAAAGGTTAAACATCTTGTTGCTCATGTTCATACTAAAAAAGGTTTAGCAAAATCATTTATCAAAAGGCTCTAATTGATAGCTAAACCATTGTTTAAAAATAAAACTCCATGTTTATGTTTGGGGACATGCAATCTTACATGTAGCAACGAGTTATTCACATATGACCCATAAGTTATCGAAATTCTCTCATCTTCGGTTGATTTATGGTCATCCGACATTGCGAGTGTATATCCTTAGTGCTCCTTCATAAGAAAATAAAATGAGCACTTAAAGGAGATTGAGAATATATGTTGGATTTGAATCCTCTTCGATCTCTTGATTCATGAATAAGAGGTATTTTTACAGCTCGATTTATTGACTTTCATTTTGATGAAAATTTTTTTCCAACATTAGGGGAGAGAGAGCAAAATAAGTAGTTGAAAATGTTGAAAAAAAATAAGATTACATGGAGTACCCTATCTATATATCATATTGAATCTCGTACAAAATAATGTGAACCAGAAGTTCAAAAGATAATTCATTTAAAAGGTATTACAAACCAACTACTATATGCATTCTCGGATCCTAAATGAGTAACTATAATGCATGTCCCCGCCGAGAATGCTCATATTAGAATTGATGTCCCGGAAGGATGGTCTATTAATGTTATAGCTAATAAATCTAAAGCACGCTCGAAGCGTGGAAGACCGATCGGTTTTAAAGATAAAAATCCCTAAAAGAAAAGGGCAAGATGAAAATATTCACAAAATAATCCAATATATTTCGATATTAGGCTTTCAAAAGAAGTCCAAATACTTGATAAAAATCAAGAGATTTTGATAAATTATATCAATGTAGGGAGAAAATAGGATCGAAAAGAAACATCTATTGATAAGATTTTTGCATATAATATTGCAATTGATATTATGGATGAAAATAAGGATCCCGAGCCTAAATTATTGAAAATGTCGACATAAAGATGGTTGGGCTAAATGAAAAGAGCAATCCAGATAGAATTATGTTCTCCTACAAAAGAGTAATTTTTTGAACCCATAGCTAAAACACCTAAAGATGTTAAGCTAATGGGATACAAATAAGTATTTATGCAAACACGAAATAGGAAAGATGAGATTGTAAGATACAAAGCAAAACGTTCAATACAAGAGTTTTTGCAAAGAATTGACATTGACTATGAGGAAACATATTCTCCTATAGTGGATGCAATTGTCTGTTGTTATCTCACTAGCATGGAAAAATGTATGAAAAACATTCATATGCATGCATTTAATGAATGTGATCATAGTTTATTTGTTTAATTTGAAATGATATCGGTATGAAAGTCCTAGAAGGACTTAACATGCCGAAGCATGTAATACATATTCTCGAGAAAAGAATTCAATTAGATTATAGAGATCTCTATTAGGATTATTTTAGTATTTGTTTTATTATTTTGGTTTTTAGAAATTCAATTTATATTTTTTATATTTTATTTTTATATCTACTGTTTATTACTAACCCGTGAGCATGTGATATAATCACTTCAATGATTATTTCTTGAAAGAAAGTCATAGAAAGTAACCCTATTTGTTCATATTTTTTTATTTAAAAAGGGATTTATTTTATATGTTGATAACTTAAATATTATTAAAACTCCCGAAGAGATTTCAAGTGTCATAAGTTACCTAAAAAGAGAATTTGATGTGAATATCTTAGAAAAACAAAATGTTATCTCGACTCGCAGTTCGAGCACTCAAAAAATGAGATCTTCATTCATTAGTCAATTTATATCGAAAAAGGTTCTACAATGATTTTATATAAAGATCATTCATTGACTAGCCCAATGGTAGTTCATTCACTTGATATCCAAAAAGACCTTTTTTGACCTCCGAGAAGATAACGAAGAACTACTTGGTCCCGAAGTACCATATTTTAGTGCCACTGGTGCATTGATGTATCTTGCTAATAATACTCGACTCGATATAGTCTTTTCTATAAATTTGTTAGCAAGTCATAGTTCTGTTTTAATATAGAGACATTGAAATAAAGTTAAATATATATTATGTTATCTTTGATGAATAATTGATATGGGCTTATATTACTCTAATAAATCAAAGACAAGATTAATTGGTTATGCAAATGCGGGTTATTTATCCGATCTACACAAAGCTTGATCACAACTGGTTATATATTTACATATGGAGATCCAGCTATATGTTTGTGTTCTATAAAGCAAACTATAGTCTGTCACATCTTTAAATCATGCGGAAATATCAATTCACAAGGCAAGTCGAGAATGTGTTTGGCTAAGATCAACGATCCATCAT